CTTATTGCTATGCTTACTACCAGATCATCATTACTAGAACACTCTGAAAGATATTTTTTTAATTTCATGCTCTGAGATTCAAAAGTTTCCATGTATTTTCCAATGAAAATGTTTTATTATAAAAGATAGAAATAACCTAATAGAAAAAAATTCATGTAATTGTTAACGTCTTCATCTTCAGAGCAGAGAAATATATGAAGAGAGAAAGAGAGAGAGACCCACCTAGAAGTTGTTTGTTAGTCCCTGTCATATTTCTGGATTAAATTTTTTTAATATCATAAGATGTAAACTCTACTCTTTTGAGTTATGAATTTATTGTAATTCCAAAGTCTCAACAGATTTTGTTTAGATATTGGGTAATCTAATCCTAAAACATCTGTCTGAGTAAAGTCCCACTATAAACAAAGCTCGTCCTAAAGAATATGATAGGAGGAGTTGCTCTACCAAATTTCAAGCTAGAATATAAAACAGTGATCATTAAAACAGTGTAGTAGGAGTACAAGACAGAACCACAAGTTTACGTATACAATGTTCCTTGGCACAGACACAGCCTAAAATAACTTAAACAACAAACACCAACAAAGCATAATGGGAAGGATAAAATGTGATTTCTAGAGATTGCCACATCGTTGGACTCAAATGTCAAAAACAAAAATCACAAGGCATAAAAGAAACAGTGAAGTGTGATGCTTTTAAAAAGCAAATAAAAGTTAACTGTCTCTGAAGACCTGATGACAATTCTGCTAATGGTTCTGACTGTCTTAAAGCTCCTAAAAAACTATCTTGAGAAAGTCAAGAACTAGATATGTGAACAAAATAGACTGTCAACAAATACGAAGTCTAAAAGGAGGTCAGGAGAACATTCAGGACCTGAAAAGCACAACAATTGAAGTGATACATTAGGTAGTGAGGGTCAAAGGCAGATTTGAGTAAACAGTGAATTTGTGGGCCTAAAGAACTGATGTTGGAAATAAACAATGCTGAGGAACATAAAGAAAAACAGATTGAAGATTAATAGAAACCAAATACTACTCATTGTGTGAGAGTTCCAGAGAAAGAGAAAGAGCTAAGAGCATATTCAATAAAATAGTGACTACAAACTGTCTAAATTTGATGAAAGACATGAATATAAACATTCATGAATATATATTAAGTCCAAAAAAAAATGAACCTATATCCTGATCAAGCTCTTAAAGGTCAGAAAAGAATGTTGAAAGCAATAGAGAGAAGCCACCGTATAGTAGAAATTCCTTAGTACTATTACACAGACTTCTCATCAGAACCTTTGAAGTCCAGAAATTAGTGGAATGATATATTCAGAGCCCTAAAATAGAAGAGAATACACTCAGTGAAGAACCTCATATTCATAAAACTTTCTTTCAGAAGTGACAGAAAAATTATAGTATTTTCAGGTTTAAAAAAAATCTGAGGGTATTTTTATCAATAAGACTGCCCTGCAAGACATGCTCAATGTCTTGGAATAAAAGCCCACCAAACAAGAACTGGAGGTCACGGGAATGAATACATGCTAAACAGGTATAAATACATGGGTATTATTTTAACAACAACTTGTAACTCTGGTTTTTGTTTTTTTATAAGAGACTAATATATCTTAATGCTGATTTAAAACATGTGTTATTGTAATTTGGGGTGTTAATCTATATTTTGCTACTATATAATTTAAGAGACCTGTATATTAAAAAAAATTCACTGATACGTCTTAGGCATATGGTATGTACAAATGTAATTTTGTGACATTGGCTACTAAGATGAGGTCTGATAAGTAAAAGAATAGACTTTTTAATGTTGTTATAGTTAAGCTAGTATAAGTACAAAGTGTTTCAATTAGAAGGCTAAATGTAATCCCAATGGTATCATAAAAGACAGTAGGAAAGGAATTGAAAAATTTCTTTTGCTATGAAAAAAATGAACCAGACACAAAGGGAGATAATAATGCAGGAAATTAGAGGCAAAAGGCTCTAAGGCATAAACAAAACAAACAAAAAAAAAAAACAGCAAAATGACAGAAGTATCCCCCTTTCTACCAGTAATTGCTCTAGATATAAGTAAATTAAACTCTGCAGCAGTCAAAAAAAAAAAAAACAGTTGACAGAAAAGATTTTACAAAATAAGCATACAGTTCAATTATATGCTGTCCATAAAAGGATCACTTTAGATACAAAGGCACTAATAAATTGAAAGGCTATAAAAAGATAATTGTATTCAAATATAACCAAGAAGAGTAAAGGTGGCTATAACAATATCAAATACAATTGACTTTACACTTTAAAGTTTTACAAGATACAAAGAAAATAAAAATGTCAATATATCAAGATTTAAGTATTATAAATATCCATACACTTAATAACAGACCATAAAAGTATGAGAGTGAAACTGGCAGAATTGAAGGGAGAAGCAGACAATTCTACAGCTGCAGTGGAAGACTTCAGTGCTCTACTCATAGTAATGGAGAGGACATCTGAAGAGAAGCAAAGAAACAGAAGGCCCCAAACCACAATAAATCAACTAGGCCAAGCAGACTTCTACCCGACAGCAGTAGGCACATTATTCTCATTACAACTAGGATATTTTTCAAGAAACGTGAGGCCACAAATTAAGTCAAACATTGTCTCTTCACAGAATAGAAATTCCAATATGTACAACATGGATGAGCCTTTTGGGTATGATGTTAAACGAAATAAGACAGTCATCTAAGAAAAAAATGCTGCATGATTCATGTATATGAGACAGACAGAGAGCAGACTAGTAATCACCGGGAGACTGAAGGAAAGGGGAATAGCGTTAAAGTTTAATGGGTAAGGCTTTCAGTTTCACAGCATGGAAAGACTTGTAGAGATGGATAGTGGCAGTGATTATATAATATTAAGATGTATTTAAATGCTGCCCTACGCGTCTCTAACTGGTTGAGATACAAGTTTTCTATGTGAGTTTGCCTTAGTAAGAGAAGCTAAAGAAAAGGCCTTAGTCATTAGAAATGAACATTATCTTTTATCCGCCCATAACAGTCCTCGGGGTGTCGTCCGGTGTCCTCAGTCTTTCAGAGAGATGTAGCACTTAGCTCCCGCACAGTTGAGAAGCACTGCTTCAAGTTAGCAAGTCTTGATGTGAGTGTAATTTTATCATGTAATGATGAGGAGCACTTAGGTGGATCTTTCTGGAGTATGTTTTCTACCTTTACATCAATTTTGAGATTAAACACAATCTAATTGTTGCTTCTTGATACAGATAAGAGGCTTCCCTTGGTTGAAAATTGCCATGACACAAAGATGATAGCCATGCCTAAAGGCAAAATTGAGAGCAAATCTATTTAGCTTTTTTAGATTTTTCTAAACAAAAAGCCAAGTGTTATGAAAAGACATGGGAATGAAGAGTAATTTTTTTAAAAAAAAACCTCAAATAGGGTTGGAATTGGAGAAACAGGTGTGTTGTGCTCATGCTTTTCTTTTATTTTAAATGCTCTGAGAATGCAAGAATCCTAAGTTAAATGATAGTTATTCTCTATGCTAAAAGTAAGGGTCACTTCCAGATTCTATGTTCACAGAATTTTTGCTTGTAAGCTTCCTTGTACCTTTACACAATGTGACTTTCTTTTTTTCTCAGAATAAAGAAAGGAAAATATACCCCTATTTTCTTTTGTAGGCTACCACTGACCAGTTTTGTGACCTCACATGTACCTTTGAGCTTTCTGAGTCCATTTTCATATCTATAAAATTGAAAACATCTCCAACTAGAGGAAAGATTATAGAATACCAAGCTATTAGTACTGAGTTACAATAGTTTATTAAACTTGTATTACTTTTAAATATGTTAAAAATTGAATAGAAAACAATGGAAATCCAATTGGAACATAATAGATAATGAATAAAACACATAAAATTATAATCAAGTAAGAGTAAATTAAAGCAATTTAAATTATCCATGTAATTAAAAATTGTCAAATATTTACATTTTAAATACTAGGAGACTTTCTTTAACAATCCTCCTAAGGCCACTTAAAAATAATTAAGCAGTTAAGCAGGGCTCACAGCCTTCTGTCAGAGCAGGTGTGGAACTATTCTGGTGATAAAGGTTCTTTGAGAGATTTCTTCTGATTTATAAAATTCAGAAGACTTCTGCCTGGAAAGATGAACACAGGAAGACACACTTTAGTCTTTAACACTAAAGAGTATGCTCTGAATTCCAGAATTTGCAGTGGAGCTTTTTATGGGTGAGTTATAAACACTGAGCTCATAAACCAACAGTCAATGAGTATATACAATGCAAACATCAGTTGTATGCTGTATCGGATACAAACACAAGATACGGGAACAGCAAATACAGCTGAAATTAAGATGGTGGTAGGCAGACTTTTCTAACTTCAGACACATGTTGGCCACAGAGTGGATATTTATCAATTGGTTATAGATTCTCTTTAGTTTAGGAACATTCTTTATTATCATAGAATATTGAAAATAACCAGGAATTAGAACTGTGTGCAAACTTTATTCTGTTTGTCTTTCTGGCTCTGGAATGGACACCTCAGCCTGGGCTTCTGCTAGAGAAGCTTCATCACCCCACCCCCTTGGTCGTAGCTCTCAGTGACAGTATTTGGAGAATGATATTTTTTACTCTTATATTTCTAGTCCTAAGGATTAGAAATCCTCCACTCTACAATATTCACAGAAACCACAAGCCAGCATGAATGTGAAGCCACAGGAAGTCAATTTGGAAATATAAGCCTCTCAGCCCAACTGGCTGTTTCATTTGTGGAGACCTTGATTCATTTGTTCGTACACTGCTCTGAGGCCACTCCAGTTAACCCTTCCCCACTCAGGCAGTGATAAGGTTGTTTTTGGAAGCCCTCTTTTCATTCTCAGTGCACAGCCGCTCCTCATGATCCTCCTGGTAGAAAGTAGTTTCTGGCCTGTGTTTTGTCATGTTTACTCAGCACACATGGATGTGAGTGTCTCCCTGAATCTCCACCTCTCTGTTCTTCTCAGGACTACTGGCTTTCTCTCCTTTACAAGCGTCTGATTGGCCCCAAAGTCCTGGCAGTGCATGTAGCTGGACTCCAGCGGAAGCCACGACCAGGAAGAGTCATCCGAGACAAACTAAGGATCTACGCTCACTGCACAAACCACCACAAGTAAGTCTTGACGAGAGCGATGAGAGAGGAAGGCCACCCAATAGGCTGCAGCCCCTCTCAGGATGCCGTGCCACAGGAACCCTTCAAAGCTCTCTGTGGTCACCATTCTCCTGCAGGTTGCAAAGGATGATAGCTGCTTTTTTTTTTTTTTTTTTTTTTTTTTTTTTTGTCAAGTAAGCCTTTCATCTCATACAGGATTTACTCAGGAAGGGTTTATAAAATGTGTGATATTAGTACATTCTCTTACTGGTGCCACAAAGTTTTATTGGGCACTTTGTCTGTGCCAGTTGATGCAACTCCCACAAAGATTCTGTGTGTGTCTAAACCTGAGCCAAGACAAGAGGCCAAGTCTGATGCTCTGACCCACCACAGAGTTTAAGAAAATAAGTGGCTGTATCTACAATACAAGAGCAGCGGCCTAGACTAGTGTCTGGAAAAGAGTGCCCAAAGAGAAGCATGCTAGCTTCAGGGACATTTTCCATATTTCAGAGATCTCAGCTATGTCAAGCATTAACAGGCTGTGAACTGTAGACTTCCTTTTGTAGAAAAGGAAGCGTAATAACCCAGAATGGTACCATGAGCTTATAGTACCTTCTGACCTGAAGCGCTGGGTATCACCAGAGTTCTCTTTAAAACAGGTGAGTTAATTATTAGTAAAGTTCATCAGGGTTTCCTTTTTTCTTTTTAAGTTTAAAACATAAAGACCATAAACAAAAAATTTTAAACTGGATCTAAAGCAAAGACCATCTGGTCAACTATGTCATACATCACTTCCTGTTTAAGGAAGAGGATGTTACCCTGGACAGGAGAATTCTTCCCCTTACTACCAAGAGAACCTGGGGGCAGAGCCTCCTGGCTCCTGTCAGACCTCTCTCCAGGGCCTATCAGGGCTGATTAAGGGGAGGGAAGCACAAAGAGCTGCTGTGGTCAGGTTACACCACATGCTCCTTCTCTGTCCTTGCTGAGACAGAAGCCAAGCCTGTTCGTTCCTCATGATAAGATGCTTTCAAAGACTCACTCTAGGCAGAGGTGGGCGCCAGGGGCCGTTGTCTTGCCTGTAGATACAAGTGCCTATTGTAGGGAGGGAACACTGTCTTGGGCACAGGCCAGAAGCTTTCAACATCCCTTTTGCTCAGCAGGAAGCTCAGTCCCTCACCTGACAGTGACTGACTGCTTTATGGCCTTGCCTGGAATTATCTGATCATCACACAAGGCAACATTGTATTCCTTGTCTAAGGCAGGCCCTGAGGCAACCACCCAAAAGGTGGACCCCCAGCCTCACGAGAGAAAAACTGCTCCTGGCACCTTCTGTCCCTGTTGGAAAACACACCAGTCTAAGGCCTTTGTAACAGTAGTCTGTATGCAGGACTAAGTCAGTAATACCTATATGGACCGAGAAGGATTTGTGTGTCCTCACTGAGGGTTCCGCACAGAGGCCCATCCCGGGGCTCACACTAGTGTTCTTGGACATTCTCATGAGAAGGTGTCACTTATATCCTGAGAGCACCTGGAACTTGGGGCCAATAATCCTGTGTCTAATACAGTGACGGGCATGAAGAAGGTCTTGTAAGTGTTTGATGTATAAATGGCTGAATGAGAGAAGAGCAAAACAGAAAAACATGGTGCTCTTGATTGTTTATACATAGTTCTTGCGTATCACATCAGCCAGAAGAGGGAGCATAATAAAATGGTTCAGAATTCTACCAGTCAGTATCATGAGGCCTCCAAAAAGTTAGTAAAAGTAATCTAGGTTTGGACCCCTCTCTACCTCAAAGCCCCTCCCCCCTTCAATGGGAAGCCAATGAGAACCTCTTAAAAGCAAGTGGTTCCACCAGGCTTCTCTCAAAATAACCCCCCCTCCTCATTAAAAAACAAAAGTCTTTCATAAACCATGTTACAGTAATGGTAAGAACCAAATTAAAGGTCCTTTTCACTCCTTCAAATATGTAAAGAATGGATACTTTAGGCCAGCTGAGGCTGCAGGTCTCCTCCTTGCAAAAAGTGTCAGGTGTCCAGACAGCTAGACACAAAGATAAGAGAGATGTCTGCTTCCCCTCTGAGAAGCCATGTGTCCTGCCTTTGTCCCCCACCCTCACCAGGAGCAGCTCTTCTGACTGATCCACTTACATTTATTTGTGGCTAAAGAAGACAAAACTTCACAATTATCTCATAGTACACGTATTGGCTTCACATTAACCTTGACCAGTGTCTGAAATAAGTATCCTAGATCAAAATGGGAGCATGATGAAGAATATAAGCTGACTAATGCTGCACTTACATAATCTTTTTAAGTTCTGAAGGCTCTGTGTATCCCCTATATGTAAGCACTGAGCATAGAAATCCCTTTTATATAATCCCTGACAGTCATTTGTCACCTACTTGGACACCTTCCTGGCTCTCATGCATTATGGATTACCTCTGACATAACAGAGCCTGATCTCCTAAAACTGATTTAGGAGAAGTTGGTGCTCATACCATCACCAGCAAATGCTTCTGTCCTCTCCTGAAGTCAACCAGTTAGAGAGTGCTGGCAGAGCTTCCATTCCTAGCAATCACGTGTTGACAGAGAAACTGTTTTATGGCCATTCTGCTGAGACCATGTATGTTTCTGGGGTGGATTTTTGCTCCTCAGCCACACTCAGAACCAACTGGAACCTAGTGGATGTTGAAGCAAAATTGAGCCTTTTGGGGTTCAAATTCGTTTATTATTGGCAAAACATGACTTCCTGTTTTTCAGAAGAAGTTTTTTTAAAGGCTCATAAAAAAGGTTCCTGAGGCTTCTTGGACATCAAATGACTCTTACAAAACAATATTTTGATGAGTTAAGTGTAAATGAATCAGAAACATGTGGATTAAATTTCCCTTAAAATACACAGGGGCTTTGAAATTAAGGGGAAAAATGTTTGGCAAAACAGGGCCTGACTTTTACCAAACGCAAAACCTTTGAATTAGATTTGGAGACAATGGACCAACTGACTTTTCAGGCACATTAACTTTTGCTGGGAATGATCAATGACTAAAGTACATCATCCTCCCTTCCTTTTCCCAGACACCCCGCTTCACTGGAGATGTTTCTAGAACATGACTGTTTTCTATCTGGAACTCGAGACACACCTCCCATCTGACATCTCCCACCTCTTATATCCAGGATCTTCCCATTCCAATATCCCTCCTCTGACTCACTTCCTCCTCCTCCCATGGCAACAAAGAGAAGATGTCAGGCAGGGAAAGAACAGCCAGGAAAGATGAACTCCAGATACATGGGTTGGCTGCTGGTGAAAATGTCTCACCACGAGTGAGACGCAGAGCAGGATAGATATTCTACTGGAACAGCTTCTTTCCAGAAAGGGACATTTGCTAAGGTAACCAAAAACCACCAGAACTTGACATTGGTATTAAAAATGGCAAGCTGTGCAGATACCATATTCTAACAGGCTATATATTCCTCCAGGATCGGTTTCCTGTGGAGAGAAAATATACATTATTCAGGAATCTGAATTCTCAACACAGTACTCTAAGTTTAATGTGGGAGTCCCTACCTAAAATGTGCCTTTGTAGTCAAAAGCCCTTGCCCATCAACCAGCTTAGGCGGTATATGGTTAGGACAGCCTTCATTACCAGTTCCTACCTAACAAGGCCCATGAGTTCTTTGAGGACCTGTTCAATTAGGTCCCTGGGCTGTGCTGATTTGTCTCTCCCAGGAGAACTATCGACACAGAAATTAAACCATTGCCAAGCAGCTTGGAAAGACAGCTTTCCCTACAGCAATGCTGTGTTTTAGGTCTCCCTCCAAGCCACCAGTTCCTCACATCCCACCCTTCTTCCTACAGTCTCCAAGGGCACATTCTGCCCCAGCCTGCCAAGGAGAAACTCATAAATGCAAGCACGTGCTTTTCTCCTCCTCCACGGCTGGCCTTTAAAACTATTGTTTAATAGTAGCTTGCAAAAGGGTTTACTGTGGTCTGGCTAAATCGATACCCACCCATGCCTATTTTGCTCACACTCTGAAGCCCATAGTACCCATAGTTAATGATGTCTTCATCTGTTTAGCTAAGCTAAGCTGAAATCCCACCTATAGAAATGAGCTGATATTCCTCTTCAGTGGTAGTCACTGCCAACACAAGCTGCCAGCATCCTTCTTCAGAACTCTAGTCACACAAGTCTGCTTAAATCAATTGACATTCTCTTCTGAATCATTTGACTGAAAAAACTAATTTACATGCTGCAGGGGATTAGAATGGAATGGAGGAAGAAGGACTGCATAGGGGAGTCATTTAACGATTTATCAGAACATAAATGCGGACCTCCAAAAGCCTGAACACAATAGTGTACCTTCTTACAGATGCAAGGGGAAAACCATCTGATACATGGCCAGGAGGATATTCTGGGGGTTCTTATAACCGTAGTGTTTTGTTCTAAGATTGTGGTTCCTAACCCTAACTCATCAGCCAAATATCTTGGCAAGATTTTAATACAGATTCCCAGGCCTCAAGCTTAAATTGAATAGAACCTTAAGACTTTATATTTGAAAACTCCCAAGTTATCCTATTAACCTGTCCTTGGCCGCTCAACTTTCAATCCACCCCTTTAGGAGCAGAGATTAGTGATGTAGGGACCAAGGGCTCCACGGCTGCAAGCAATGTTTCCTCTGGGCAAAGCTGTCTTAGAGTTTCTCTGAACTCCTCTTTTGAAGGCTGAGCTGGGTCATTTTTTTCTGTTTCCTCTCATTAACCCATCCAGATGGGGCGCCAAGGGACCTCTTAGAAACAAGGTCTTTTTTCCTACAGAGAGGGAAATCATTACAGCTTTGCTGATACACACTGAAAGGCTCTCCTTGTATGTCATCATGTGTTCTCCCATGGTTCTATGGACCCTGCTCTCATCTAAAAGGATTCTAAAATGGTGGCTAGTTTTAGGCATCTTATTAAAAAAACAGAAATGGAAACTGGGCAAATGAAAAAATACTGTGCTTCAATATGAACAAGAATAGAAAGTACAACATCATGATCTCATTTTCTCCTCTCAGGTTGACAAAGATATTTTAAAAGATTAATATCCAATGTTCATAAGCGTATGAAGAAACGGATACTCTTAAAACAGAGCTGGCAGAAGCCTAAAATAATATCAAAATTATCAAATTATGTGTTTTTATCAGAATAAGTGATGGTTAAAAAAAAAAATGTAAAGTATCACCCAAGACCAATGAGCTGCCTCAGTGAGTAAAGGTATTTTCTATCAATTGTTATTGTCTGAGTTTGAGCCCTAGGACCAAAACCAATATTTTTAAGAATGCCCAAATCTAAACGGCTTCCAGTAAGAAACTATATCTCTTGTTCTTACTGCTTGTCCGCCATGGCTCTGCTATAGCTCTGCTCTAGCTCCGCTTTGCATCTTCATTTCAGCACCCAGGCCTTTGTGATTAACACTGTCAAGCTGGGAACGGCGGTGTGTCTGTAATCTCAGCACTGTGGAGGCTGAGGCAAGATGACCACATCCAATGATAATCTGGGCTACATAGCAAGATGTTGTGTCTTAAAAAGCAAAAACCAAAAGATGCTGTCATTCTTTTCCTAACAGAAGAAACAAAACATCATCACATGGACAGTTCCTCAGCATCTACCCAAAGGTCTGGGCGTGTCCACTCAGATCACACTAGACAAAGCAGACCCTGTAATCACTTTGGAGTACAAGAGTCAAGGATATAAACTCCTTTCCCAGGGAGTTGGACGTGCAAATCCGACGAGGAGTCACACAATGTACACACACCTTGACCTAGTGATTCTAACTTCTAAGAATTTCACCACCAGAAATAATCATGATACACAAAAAATGTATGTAAAATTAAGGCTTTGTGACATAATTTATAATGGTGAAAAATTGAAAACAACATAAATCCAAAAAACTGGTGGTCTGGCTAAATAAGTTATATTGCATTTCTATGATTGGAAATTCAGCATTACTGTATAAGAAGACAAACTAATAACATAAGACGCATGTATACATTAGCTGAAAAAGGCTATGTAGATGATCTGATCCTAATTATAAAAAACTGAGCAGTATAATCACATGTGCCAAAGTGCTTAGTAGATGATTCTCAAGGTAATAAATGAAAATGCTACATGTTGACCAAAATGTTGTATTATTTCAACGTTATATAACTACGGGGCATTTTCTTTTACTTGTTTCTTTATATTTTCCTGTTTTTTTTTCTTTTATTATATCTTGTTTTCATATATATATATATATGTATATATATATATATATATATATATATATAGTATGAAAGCAAGATATGTTGGATATCTTATTAGATATATATGTTGAAGATACAGTAATGCTGAATTTTTAATCATAGAAATGCAACATAATTTATTTAGCCAGTCCACCACTTTTGTAAATTCATGTTGTTTTCTGTTTTTTGCCATTATAAATTGTCATATATAAATATATATATATATTTAAAGTAACTCCAGTAAATTTAAACAAACACAGGGTGGGGTAGAATGTGGGCACCTTCTCTTCAGGAAACAGCTGGCCATAACTGGGCATCCCCATCTTGAAGGTCTCTTGGATCGATCCCTAAAATGAAGGCCCTTTTCTGGGGTGGTCTTGTTTTGTACAGCCTATAAGTTACTTGGGAGCATCTAACTGACTACTTTGTCTCATCTTCTCCCGCTCCTCTCTCTCTCTTGAACTCAGCCACAACTATGTCCGTGGCTCTATTACACTTTTCATCATCAACCTACACCGATCAAGGAAGAAAATCAAACTGGCCGGGACTCTCAGGGACAAGCTCGTGCACCAGTACCTGCTGCAGCCCTATGGGCAGGAAGGCCTAAAGTCCAAGTAAGTGCCAAGCTAGAGGTAGCTTAGGACCATGTAGGCAGGAGCTGAGTGAAGAGGGAGCTGGAGCCACCCCTTCTACTGAGGCAACATTGAGGCTACTCATTCACTGGGGCTTAAGGAGGTGGGGTGGGATACGTAGTCCAAAGTGGGGGGATTTCAGATCCTTTGGGGGAATCTCTTAGTCAGGTCCCTGTCTATCTGCATGCTTACATTCAACTGCAAAGTCAAACAGTAGACAAACTATTTCTCAACAAGGGTACTGTTGGTATTTGAGCATGTAAGTTCTTCATTATGCCATATTATCACATGACAATATCCATGTCTCTTTCAGCTATAACATTCTAGAATGTTGTGACTTCCCTTTCATCATTATCTACAAACCCCGTGGTAGAGGAAGAAGCACTAAAGGAAAGGCCCAAAGTTGAGAGATTAAGAGTCATTTTTGGCCCTTAATGATATAACTGAATGGCTGAATCTGTTTTATCTGTCTGGACAATAAGGAGGCAAATTGTATTTCAGGAACCCTGTGGCCCTTCAAACCACCTCCCTCAGTCTCTCCTGGATACTGGCAACAATGATGTCCAAACAGAAGGCAGCACGGAGAAGGGCCTGGCCAAAGGCAAAATCACTCTGGCTCCCCGAGCAAGGCCTCTTAGAAGGGGCATCGGCTGCTGTGCAGATCAGGGGCGTTCCCGGTGCATTTTTAATGTTTACCGAGTCTAACAAAGCTGTAAACTTGGAGCAGGTGGCCTGCCCTCCCACAGCTGCCCACAAATATGTGTGCTATAATTGGTCAGTGCTTCACTGCAACCTTGGTGGCTTGCATTTGGCTTCCAACTGTATGTGCAGTGGGAACAAAACAGTCTGGAAAGTCATTTACTGAGTTTCTTTAGCCCACCCCAGATCTGTATTTTCACATACTGGTTCTTTCTATCCACTACATATACATAGCTTTTACTTTTCTCTCTTTGAATCCTGCCTGCACCCTCAGGACTCTTGAGAGTTTTGTCACTCTATCTATAAATGTGTAGTTTATGACTGCATGTTGAATTCTCACCCTTCATCCTAAGCAAGACACCCAACACTGGCCTGAGGAAAATGATTATACAACCTAGGTAAATCCTGAATAGACTGCTGGTCTCAGTCGCAAGTCCTGAAGCATAAGACTCAAGTGTTGCTCTCTATTTGGTAAGGTCTTTTGCAGCTCTAGATTCTCATCCTGGTTCGATTTTCTTAGAACCGTAAGTATAGGCAAGCCTCCTGCTAGCATTCAATGATGATCTGCAATAATATTTCTGGCAGATGTAAAAGGTAATTCCCCATCAGTGATTGACTGTGACAGGTTAGAGTCCCTGAGACCAGTGAGCGAGGGTGCTGAGCCTGCCCAGTGGCAAGAAGACATGCACACTTAGTGTAATGCTTTATGTCCAGTAGGCCAAGATGTCAGTCCTTGCTCTGTATGAGGCAAATTGTGTTATGAACTGTCCATGAGCCTCAGTCTCTTCTCGAGCGGGACATAGTAAATGAGGTGGCCCATGCCAGGTTCCGGCACATCGTAAGTGCTGAGTACATGTCCATAGCTTCCGTGCTCTCACCCCAGAACTCTAGGCTGTTGTGGAAGAGGGGGCATAATTGTTGTCCCTAAAAATGATCTTTTTCACCCTTGTGTGTCTGTGTGTGTGTGTGTGTGTCTGTGTCTGTGTTAAAGATTATGGCTTTATAAAAGGCCTACTGAGAACAGCGTAAAATTGAAGCCATGTAGCCAGAGTGGATGATGTAAGAGGATAGTGTCTTTGAATGAGCCTGTTTCTCTGGTAACCAAGGGCGTAGTTCTCCACCCTGTTTATCCCAGCACCATGCCCACACCTCCAGAGCCTTGTTGCCCATACACTTGTCCTTAGGGTGTCTGAAGTACTGACTCATGTTTCTGACCTGCTTTGCCACCCTGTACTTTACCTTGTGACCAGACTCGTAAGGAGCTGTGCTACAGTTTTGTTAGGGCTATAGGAAAAGGACAAGACAAAGTGATTCCATTCCACAAGGATCTTGAAGAACTTGGTAAAATGTTGAGATCAAAAGGGGCCAGAAGGCTGGCAGCTGAGGCAGAGGCTGGCACCCATCTGTGTGATTAACTCTTGGTTTCTTTACCTGTCAAAAAGGAGGAGAGTGAGAATCAAGTTAGAGGATACTAGAGAAATAAAGCCTTCTTCGAGTGTAGTACATGAACACATACATCTATGAATATAAACCTGGATACACACAGATAGTTATATATTGTTTTAGGTGTGTGGTATTAGAGCGTTTAGAACAGTGGTTCTCTACCTGTGGGTCAGGAGTCCTTTGGCAAACCTCTATCTCCAAAAATATTTACATTGTCATTCATAGCAGTAGCAGAATTACAGTTATGAAATAAAAATGAAAACAGCTCTATGGTTGGGGATCACCTCATGTGAGGAACTGTATTAAAGGGCCACATCCATTAAGAAGGTTGAGAACCACTGGCTTAGATTCAGAAGTAAAGAGCACCAGATTCCAAATCCAACCTGTCACTAACACACCGCTAAACTTCGGACCTTAAAGTAGCATTTTAGCCTGTTCCTCTCCTAAAAGTGGCAATAACTTATCACCCCTTCTATCCCAGAGCCTAAAGGCTCTGACTTTGTGCTGCGCCATCTTGGCCTGTAAGTTGCTAGGTAGGGACTGTCAGAGCACAGCTGAGCAGACTGTTCAGCACCACTCCAACACTGTCCCTGCTCCAGAGCAAGAGCCCACAGCGTGTCTGAATGGGGGTCTCCAGGGAAGCACATGGAAGCTGCCATTAAAGCAAACCACTCAGAAAGGAAGAAAGGCTAGGAAATGAGTTCAGTCTTCGCTGTCTCTCTTCTCTTTTCTATAGCCTCTGGGCCTGGACTCTGTTCTCTAGCTACTAATTCCTAGCTATAGCCAAAAGCTGTATTAACTCAGAAGAGAATGGAAAGTTCCCGGGGTGAAGGATACGTACCTGCTCCTCTCTGGAGCAGCCAGACGAGGTTATAACACAAGCAAATCACATTCAAGCCAGCCGTTAGGTCTACAGTAAGAAGATGCCAAAAAAAAAACATTTTTGTTGAGGCCATGGAATACGCATTCTCTCAAAATGCCGTCAAGGCTGGGAAGACTTGAAGTCTCTGGAAGGACATCACTGTGTGAGTGGGAAATGAAGGTGGGTCAGCCCTCACATAGGAGGAAGCTGCCAATCAGGCATCCCCCTCGGCATCTGGGTTTACAGTCTCCCACCTCAGTGGTCAATCAGTCCCAAGACCCACACTTGTCTTAATTCTTTATATAAAAGGTTGTAGACATCATTGTATCATTCTAGGAACGAGGCAAATGGCCGTCACTCTTTGCCCTGCAGGGCAGGCATTTTAGAAAATGCTGTGTGTACATGTGAGTATCCTGCATCTGAAGTACACACTTACTCATCACAGAAGAGCTGACAGAAATGGGAGAATTGAGGTCAGAGAAGAGAGGTAAATTTAGGACTTTATTTAGATATTCATACAACTGCCAAGCAAAATTCAGCAAATTTGCCCTGTAATACTTCAAAATGGCAAGAGGTTCAGTTTAAAGGAGATATTTTACATATGCCAGAAGAAATTCACGTGTTCTGGCCTGGTGGAGGACAAGATGGGCGTCCTCCGGAGAGAAGCTGTTGGTGAAGAGGGTGGCATCCAGACATACTCTAATCTTTACTCAGGAAGGCTGAGAAAGAGAGGACCAACTCCCGTCATATGGCAAAAGTCATTATTCTCTTTAGTCTCCGGTCTTCTACACTCTCAGAGCCTGTGATCTCAGTGGTCACCAACCAAGTAACTTCTTCAAACCACTAAGTGAACACACACAGAGGCTGTGCTACAAGAGTGAATGGTAGTAATAGCTGGTTCCTCTCAGAAAATCCCCAGCTGTGAGTCTGCTGTGGGCTAGGTCTCAGCTTTCTGCGAAATGGCTCTTTTCTGAATACCTCAGAGGAGAGGAGCACTTCTAGGATAGTTCCACAACCTAGAGAAAGTGTCTTCCCATGGCCTCGTGTGGCCACAGATGAGGAAACGTTCACCTCTAGGGAATTGGCTCTTCCTGGGTGTAAACATTTCCCAAGGTCTTCAACAAACAGAAGCAACATCTGGACCAGAGGAGCCAACTTGTATCTGAAAGTGAGAGGGTCCCTTTTACAGGGGAATCACATGAGCGTTAAGTCAGATTCCAGGGTCTCTGTGTGCCTGATTTCATTTAGAGAGGGTACAAAAATTAGAAAAGAGGGAACGCCTTTCATCAGATTAGACATTCTCACATGGAGACTTCAGGAAACCAGTATCTGCTAAGAATTCTGGTTCTGGGCTAAGTGACATTTGGAGGGAATCTTGTTTCGTCCTCTGCCCTCATTTATAGTCTGTGCTAAGCCACGTAGAGCAGAGGCTGTTCCGTGTTTACTGACCACAATTTCAGTCTGTCTGAACACTTAATTTTATGCTAATCCTGAGGCTTGCTGTAATAGCTGTGTAGCCATCACCTCATATAACCTTTTGAGCAACACCGTGAAGGAGGCAGGCTAATGCTTGCCTCCCCCACATTAGAGGTTTAGAAACTGAGTCTTAGCGCATTTCCTATTTACCCAGGGGTTGCACAACTAGTGACAAAGAAAGCACCTAGCATGCGTGTTAGTCCTCATCCACAGCCCCTCTTCAATAGCGTGATGCTTCAACAGTCCAGTAGTGAGCCATCACAGTTACAGAGGACAAAGGTGCCACCAAATAACCGAAATGCCATGAGACTGTCCGGGTTTGTCTACCTTAACTCTGCCTAGAATTAGAATGTTGAAGAGGCCTCTCGTGGGACTAATTCATTCCAGCCCCATTCAGTATGGTGGTCTTCACTTACTGTCTTGCTACAGTTCCATGTTTGTGCTCCAGACCAGAATGCCCTTGACTTTCTTGTGCAGTATAAACACCTGGCCTTTAAGCGCT